CTGTGAAAACTGGCTCAGTATTCCGCATTTTTAGAAACGCTCAAGCGCCATTTTCTAATAAATGGCTCCAATTTTTTTAACGTTTCAAACGGATAGTTCTTTAGTATGACGTAAAGTTCATTTCGGTATTGTTTTGTTTTTCGTTTTTTCAAAAATGTACACAAATGTAAAGTTGTTGAAAGATCTCTGACGCTGTTGATATACAAATTTCTAGCAATTCGTAAACACTATTGTATTTGTGAGTTAAAGTACTTAAATTGAAAAATAAAAATAAAAAAATCTGAAAAAGCTTAAAATTTGAGATTTATAGTAGCGCTTAAATGTCACTTTCTTAAAAAGGCTCCAAATTTTTCAAAGAAAATCGCCATTTAAGACGATTTTTTCTGTTATTTAATATTCTTAAAATATTTCCGTTCTACTGTTGGGAAACAGTAAAATTAAGAAAATTTCAAAAAATTGTAGTTTTGCCGGCGATAGATGACAGCTGGCAAGAGTATGAGGCAAGTCCGAATAGCTAGTACAGACCGAGGAAATAGAAAACTAATACGGGAAATTCTGTGCCATTCTGTTGTACCACTAGTCTTTAAATCTCCCTCCCCCTCAAATTACTTCAACCAACACTTTTCTAGAATTGCGGCTAAACTCACGATGGAACTAAAACCACAAAATTCAGCATTCGCTTCCCAAAAAATTTCGACAAGGTTTATTTCCAAAACTTCTAACGAAATCCTGAGAATAGGGCGTAAAACAAAAAAAATATTCATCTGGTTTAGATGAATTTCGGGATTGTTTACTGAAAACTTGTGTACATGCCTTTTTATACACCCGTTAACTCTTATTTTCAATGCTTCTTTATGTACAATAATATTTCCAGATATATTCAAATCAGCGAAAATTAAGCCTTCCACTTTAAAAAAGGGAACAAAAGTGAAATTCAAAAGTATCGACCAATTTTCCTTTTGTCAGTTTTCTCAAAAAGTTAGAGAGGCTTTTCTATACGCGAATGGAAACTTTTCTCACGAAAAACGAAGAGTTTTCACACTCACAACACGGGTTTAGAAAATAAAAATCTACGGAACTGCCATTTTCTTTCTTAAAGATGTTGCTTCATGCAATGAACTGCCAAAATGAAGCACCCATTGGAATATTCTTAGATATTTCGAAAGCTTTGGACGTTGTTGTCTATAACATATTGCTATCAAAATTACCTTCTAATGGAATTCGTGGTATCGCCGTAGATTGGATAAGCTCGTACCTTAAACATCAATCTCAAAGAATAGAAATCCCGTACTGGCACCAAAGGACATAAAGATAAGTAAATAATCTTTCCGATTCTTTACCAATTGAGTACGATATGCCTCCGTCTATTAAATGCGGAAGAGGGCACTTTTTGCCGATGACACAAATGTTCTTTGCAAAAAAGAAACAATAAATAGTGCGACTTCAGAAGTTTCAAGTTGATTTTGTAATAAAAACTAATAGTTAACGAATGAAAACAGTTTCAATGCATTTTTGCATTTCAAATCAGCAATCGCATGCTTCTTTGAAAATGAACAATATGCATTAACCTATGTTAAGATAACAAAATTTCTCGGTCTCTCAGTTTAGTCAAACCTCAGACAGAATGTACTTATAATTGAATTAAACACAAAATCAAGTTCATTATGTTACGCATTCAGAATTCTTTCGAATTCTGTCAGCCTTCATGCAGCTCGGTGCGTACATTTTGCAAATGTTCATTCCCGCCTGAGATATGGCATAATATTCTGGAGAAGCTCATCATGTAGTACCCAGACCTTTAGATTCCAAAAGAAAATTATTCGAATAATGAAAAGATACCATCCGCGTGATCCCAGCAAGCCTCTCCCAATTGAGTTTTGGAATCTTACCATTGCCATGCTTATTTATTTACCAATGTGTAATATTTGTCAGAACTGACTGACTTAACGGTAAAACGTATTTTCATACAATACTGATATAATTACAATACACGCCGTAGAAATAACGTAAATCAACATCTGTATCAACAGCTCACTACCAGAAATCCACATACATGTACGTTACTTACAACGCATTGCCAGATGATATTAAACAATTGAAGTGGGTACACAAATTTAAGTTAAAAGTAAAATCTTACTACTGCTCTATCTGCTGCAAACCTGTTTCTATGCAATTAGAGACTGTACTGATCATTAAAAAGGGAAAGGTTTAAGTAACAAAATAGTGATATATAATGAATTGCGTTTGTACTGTATATTTTTTTGGAAAAGACAACATGCTTATAACAAATAATATACTTCAGCTTTCGGGTGAATGACCCCCATCTCGATCAGGTTTTCTCCAGTTTCCTTGATACATTGAGCAAATGCTGAGATGGCCCTTTCTTTGCTTCTGAACGTAAATGTAGCTTCACTTTTGTTGAACTCTTTTATTTGTAGTGGTAGGAGTGGAGGTAAGGGCGAGTTACTATTTTATTAGAAATACAAAAAAATCTGCAGTTCGTTAACCCGAGAATGAAAATGTTTAGATTTTAAATGATGCTAATCTCGCGCCTTTTTAATTTTTTTATCTTCAACTTTTACTCATTCTTGAACTATTTATAGTGAAAATGATCGAAAGGGAATCTGGAACTCAAGAAAACGTGCGCAGATGATCTTGTACCTCATAGGTTACACAGTTTTTACTGATTTGTGAGTAAATGAATCTAAATCAAATTGAAATCTACAATTTCAAAGGGGTGTTTCGTACTTACGGTGGTATTCGTACGTATTAAAAACGAGCGCGCCTCGCTGTCTTTTGTACTTTATTACTTTTTTACGATATTGGTGGAACTTTCTTCTAAATTGACGTGTTTAACCTCACGACTCAGCCCATTCCTTTCGTGTTGCATCTACCATTACGATACCATAAGCACAAAGTATCTTATCTTCGCTGTTTAAATGGCGTACTGATAATCATATTGATAGAGAAACACACACTATGAAATTTTATCGCACTGAGTCACTAATTTTCTGTGGTGACATAATTGTTCTATCCTAAAACATCTTGAACTTTCTGCATTCACCACCGGTTTCCATAATTGTGTGTGTTAAGATCGGACGTTTATTATTAGAGACGGTTTCCATACACCATCAAATACTAAAATATGCATGAAAACATGTTTGATGCTGGGTAAAGATTGAAAAACCATGCAATACTAAATATTAGTTTTAAGTATTTGTTTTATTGATTTTTATACGTGTGAATGATTAACAATTTTAGTATTTTGATAGTCATTTGAGTATAAAATTAGATATTCTGACATGTTATTTTTAAATTAAACGGACAATATTTCCTGTAGCAGCCGTCGCAACTGTTGCCTTCGGGGAAGGTGGCATTCGTGGCGCCGAGACTATTGCGTTCACTTTAAAATTACAGGTCAGAAAGTCTACTTTTACACGAAAATTACTCTCAAAATACTAGCATATGATGCATCCTTGTATTCCGCTTTTTATGTCCTAGCCATTGCTCATGAGAAAAATATGTAGTTCAATTTAAAAAATCAAAGATCAATTTCTCGAAAATGAATGGTATTAGCATGGTATTGGTATTAACATGAGTATGCTATATAATACTATTATGTGCAAATGTAATAATGCTTCCAAGCTTAATGAAACATAAATATTATTATTGGTATTATTATTATTATTATTATTATTAGTGGTGGTGGTGATGGTGATGGTGGGGGTGGTGGTGGTGGTGGTGGTGGTGGTATTTTGCGGGGGGGAAACACCAAAAGACTCGAGGATAGTATGCAATTAGTAGGCTTCAGATTTGGGTTTAGCGCGTGCGGATTTACAGAAACGGGTGTCAAGCCGTTGGGTCTGACAACTCCCGGAAAAAAATACAATGTGACCATGTTTTTTTGCAATTAAAAATTGAAGTGTAGTAGCTTCAGATTCGTATTCAACGCGTGGAAATACATAGAGAAACGTTTGTCAAGTCTCCAGATTTGACAACTTTTTTGTGTGCCTGTGTACATTAAAACTATTATATATTAAATAGAATTTTTATGCACCTCGGAGAACGGGCAAAACAAGTGGGAAACTCTGATGGAATTAATGTCTTATTTCTCTCTTGTTCTACATTCGGTATATTCCCTTTGTACATGAAACATAGTAAAAGCATCTGGCGTATTATTTTACTTAATCATTGTGTGCATTTTTTATTTATCTGTTAATATAATTGCCGGGCAAAGAAAGTAATTAGGAAAAAATAGTCAATGTGGAACAACACTTTTTCTCAATTTTGTTATTTTGAATTTCAACCATTTATAAGTTGAAATCAATTAAATAAAGAACTTAAAACGAACATTTTTAGTTTGTGTCCGAGACCCTTTAGAGCTGGGAACCCCGGTGCATTGGACCAGTTGCACCATTAGTAATTCCGCCACTGGGTTAGAAAGAATCGATACATTATGTAACAAGGAAGAAGTTTGAAAGAGGTATGGCCAACACTACTACTGATACTACTACTTCTACGTTTTTTGGCGTAGTCAGCGCATATGCTAACCAACAAGAGGGGATGTCGAACCGCCCTTCTTACTGCTCTCGGATCGGCGGTCTGGCATCACGTCGGGGGTAGTGGGTTGTCTTTTAATTCGTATCATGCTGTCTTTTTATTCCTCTCTACGAGTACTACTAGTAGGGAGGAACGACAAGATAGGTATGAAGATTCCCTTCCACCATGGTGATTAGGGGTTCAAGAGTTTACTTCTTATCACTTTCATCGTTTTCTTTTCTTCTGTTAATGGTAGACAAATATTTGCTACTTTTACTTTCAACCATTTTGTCAATAATATTGTCTGACGTTAGGTTCTCTCTCAATTGTAAATTTATATTGACCCAATGTTTTTCCCCACATAAAGCAGTGAAAAAGCCGTGTATTGGGCTGTCTATTGCCTTGCAGTAGCGGCATATGTGGTCTAATGTTTTGCCAATTCTATAAGTGTAGACTCCAAAATGTCCACACTCTGTCAGGAATTGGGTAGTCTGGTAACTTAGGTTGCCATATTGCGAGTCACCCAGGGCTTAATCTGCTTTATCAAGCGTCGTATCTATAGAGCTTTAGGCGTGTTCCATTCGTTCTGCAATTTTTGTATGATTTTTCCCAGGTCTCCTTTTTTTGCCGTACCTTCCTCTCGTGCTTCAAATACTGTCTTTCATTCCTGGGCCAGAATGTGCATTGGCATAAGACCTCCTAAAAACAATGCAACTTCAGCTGAAACGGTTCTACATGCACATACAATTCGCAATGCCATTTTTCTGTGTGTCCTGATGAGTTTTGCCTTGTTATATTTAATATCTGCTGATCCTGCCCATATCGGTGCAGCATACTCTGTGCATTACGGAGCTCACTATTTTCCTCTTTCCTTCGCTGAGGCCTCCGATGTCTGACATCGGCGTACTGAGCGCGTCAGTTGCCTTTGATGCCTGTTCTGTATTCATATTGCATTGGTGTCCAAAGGTCAATCTCAGATCTATCACAACCCCAATCAGATCTATCACTGCTTTGGGCGTATTAACAACTGCGTCTCGAATCTTGAAAAATACGACTTTAGGTCTTCGTTTTCCTGGCAAACGAACGGCCTCCGTTTTGTGGTGTGCCAGGGTTAGCGAGTTTTCTTTCATTCATGTGTTCACTATATGCAGTGTTGCATTACCGTTGAATGCGAGTTCTGTCGTTCCTGCTGTAACTACAATTTCTAGATCTGCGAACGCGATATGTCGTTCCTTCGGGAGTCGATTTTAGGTATTCCATAACTTTGGTCATACAACTGGGCCCTGTGGGACCCCTGCTGTCATTCCTATTTCCTTACGCTTTCCTACAGTTATAACTCTTTTTTGTACGTGTACACACCAATGATGTTAATAAGGTATCGTGTTATACCTCTATCCTCCAACTCCCTCATAATTATAGACCAAGATGCACTATTGAATGCATTTTTTACATAGAGGAGTATTAATGCGCATAGCAGTCCTTTATCGTTAGCCTTCCCAGTTGTACCCAAACATTGTCGATAGCTCCATACGTCGATTTGTGTTTTGTGAAGGCCCAGGTTTCTTGTTTTACTGGTTTCTTCATTCCATCTTCCTAAAAGCACGTACTCGTTCATCTTGCCGAGAGTATCCAATCAGAGTATCACTGCTGCTTACTATTACTAGTATCACTGCTACTGCTACTGTAGATTAACCATATATCATATCGTGAGCAAAAAATGTTCGTGATACTCTCGAAGAAATCTCATATCAACGCTTTCTATCATAGTGCCGACTGATGCAATAATACTGGGCAAATTGATAGACATAAAATTACGTGGTCTCCAGTTTTCTGTATAGGTCCGCTCTAATGGCATTCACTTCCATCTCATCGCTATCGTACGTATTTGATTTCATGCGTCAAAGAATTAAAGTGCACTGTTATCTGCTGACGAATCTCAGAATAAATGTTCTTGATCACCAATAAATTTCAATTAGAAAAATGTGACGTGTTGGGGCGTAATATATGGGGGTCGTGAAGGTCAGCACTGTGTATCATAAGTTGCATAAAATACATTACTTTTTTTGGAACGCTCTCAAATAAATGTTCAGTGCTTCTCTGAACAAATCTTTTCATCTTGTATTTATTCTTGTTCTAATTTTGTATGAATTTGGTTTGCAGGGTGCCCGAATATGGATTCCTCATGCAGAGAAAGTATGGGAAGGGGCGGAGTTGTTGGAAGACTACAAAGGAAAGATACTACGAATCCAGACTAACGATGATAAAGAGGTAAGTTTTCTACAATATTTTCCAGAATATTGACGCATTCGTTTAATCTATGTATACAGTCTGACACGTTTTCTTATACACATTCTCATATTATTTGGCGATTTCATTCAGAAACTAGTGGTACGACACCACATACTTTCTCGGATTATTTCTAACTGATCCTCTCTATTATACTACCACATAAACTGCAAAAGTGTTTTCAACCAGCAAGTTTTTTTCCTCACCGAGGCTTGAACTAGGGACCTCCGAGTCATTTACCCGTCAGCCACGCTATAGGGCGCTGTATTGTACGCACTGGCCCCGACGCTAAAAAAATTAATATTCTCATGCTGCTGCTGCTGCTACAACTACTATCACTGTTCCTACTGCTAGAATCACTGTTCCTACTGCTAGAATCACTGTTCCTACTGCTAGAGGCACTGTTCCTACTGCTAGAGGCACTGTTCCTACTGCTAGAGGCACTGCCACTTCAATATATTTAATACGCATGTTTTTCAGTTTTCGAAAATGTGGAGAATTCCCCGAAAATTGGTGTAGCATAATTTTTACCGTCAGTTGCCACATACCAGGAGAAAATTTATTGAAAAAATTGCAGCGGTACTTGAGATTTTTTTTTTAGAAATTGCAATAAATGCTGTACCTGCATAAGATGGTAACTAGTGGTGCTACAGAATGGCACAGACTTCCCGTATTCATTTTCTATTTCCTTTGCTCTCATCTAGCTACATAATCTTGTCCGCTGCCTTCTATCACAGCCCAGAGTGCATTTTTTGAAATTTCATTATTTTGTCGGTTTCCTAAACGTACAGCGAAATATTATTTTAAGATTATTAAAGAACAGGAAACCTCGTTTTAAATGGCAATTTCCTTTGAAAAATTTAGAGCCGTTTTTAAAAACGCGTTTAAAGGCTACTGTAAATTCCGAAATTTGCAGCTCTTTTTCAGAGAAAATTTTTGAGTTTCGAAAAAATAATTTGAAGTTATTTTAAGTTCTTTAACTCACAAATACAATAGTTTTACAAATTATTGGAAATGTAGCAACGGGGTGAGAGACCTTAAAAAAAATGCATTTGGGTAATTTTTGGAAAAATACACCGAAATGAACGGTACATCATACTAAAGAGTGCATTTACTTCTATCTGTTTGATATGTTGAAGAAAAAATTTGGAACCATTTTTGAGAAAATGGCGTTTGGGTGTTTCTGAGAATACGGAGTTTTGAGCTAGTTTTCGGAGAAAACTAGAGTTTTCGAGAAACTTCGACACCATTTAAAGCACAAGACACCATTTAAAGCCACTAATATAAATAATAACATGAGAAACAAGTCAAAAAATAACTTTTGTAATTTTTGAAAAAATAAAATAAATGAGCAAAATTGCGTTTATGTCGTCTTATAGAGTACATTTAGCACTATTTTTGAAATTTTCGTAATTCAGAGTGACGCGTTAAAAGAAATATTTGAAGCAGTTTTTGAGAAAATTTTGAAAATGTTCGGAGGGCTTAATGTAAAGTACACCCGAATTTTGAAGAATGTTTTTCAAAAATCTCTAACTTTCTACTCAAGCCAAATGGACAGTCTTCAATTTGGAAAATATCCTACTCATGGTTTAGGCGCTAGTAGTGATCTTAGACACCAGTAGAACAAATGGACGTTTTGAAAAGAAACAACACTATTTCGGGATCTGGGGTCCCCAAAACTTGCATTTCTGTTGAAATATCATAATCGATTTTCCGCAGCTTTACATGACTTTCCCTATACTTCGTATAATACTCCGTATGTACGTGCAGTGAAAAAAGGAATGGTTGCCGCACAGTGAAATACGGTTCTCCCTACCAGAATCAATAGTAAAATTTGGCCCAGCTATTTTTGTGGTTGACGCACCATAGGTGCCGTGTGTGACCCAAAACACCGCTGTCACTGGTGGTCCCCTTGTCTATGTAGTACCCTAAACCACAAAATTTTTGCAATTCATTGTTGACTCTCTCAGAACTTCAGCAATTGGTTCCACAACCCCCATTTTTTCATCAATACAAGACATAACAAAAATATTTATATCAACAAAGGAATTATTTGCATCAACCCATATGTTTGCTTGGAGAATTTATCCTTTTGTTATACCTGTACATTTAAATTTAACATTAATTATAACATTTGAAACCAGAAATTGTTACATTAATTGTTTTAATGCAAAAATGTGAAAGCAATCTCTCTCTTGAAAACTTGACACTAAAAACAATTGAATAGAATTTGATACATTAAGATTAAACCTGAAATAGTTTCATATTTTGCCAAATATTTTCTCTAACATTTAGTAGCATGAAGTGAAATTTCTTCCCTACCCAACAGAAATGAAAACAAAATTAAGTAAAATTCAATTGAGTATTTTTAAATACAATTGCTGTTAATTCATTTCTTTGTATTGATTTATTTGCTCCCTTGTTTCACTTAAGTAATTTGCAACTTGTTGCACACAAGCATAAATATAAGAATGTTTCTGTTTTTTACCGTGCATGAAACTAATTTATTCGTTTTAACCTTTACTTATTGATAGCTGTGTGCTGCAAGATGCATATGACTCCTGTGAAACAAGTGTCTGAATAAATTAATACAATACAACTCAATCACATTAATCTGATAAGTTTCGCAGGCATGAAAACCACAAACAGGGAAAAAAACAAAACAAATGTGATAGCATTTGAAATACATAAATTTGGGATAACGATATGAGATGGATATATTTACAAATTCTACATTGTATTTGAAATAATTATTTACATTATCTTTTTTTAAATTTTCATAATGAACAAATATTGCATTTCGTAATTGCCCTAGCCACAAAAACCTAAACATTACAATGAAGCCAAATTTAATTAGGTTATCTAAGTTCTAAGAGATCCTGAAAACTAAGATACCAGTTTTGTCTATGAGAATTCTGTCAATCTGCTCACATAGTTAAAAATCAAACGTGTGTACATGAAATTTTGAAAGGAGCATGTAGCCTTGTGCAATAAAAATATTTCATGCAGTGCTTATTCCTTAAGACTATGAAATATGATCAAGGGATGAAATTAAAATCCATTGTATTTATGCACTTCGTTATTTTATTGAACTTCTAATTATTACTTGTAGATCTCTGTGTTCAACGAAGTTCAAATTAGTGTAGTCAAATAAGTTTTGTGGTCCAAAAATATGGAGTCAGGAAACAATGTAAGCATTCTTAAAGAAGAAATAAGTATTATGAAAGGAAATAGCTTTTATAAATGCATTAATCATAATCATTTTTAACGTCAAAACTAAACTATAATAAGTGTTCCCAAAATGATTAGTTTTATTAAAAAACATGGTGCAATTAATTTACACATGAGAAGGATACATCAAATCCCCATTTCTCTCTTTGTAAAATTTTGTTATTGTATAGTAAATCAATGTTAGCATTGGAACATTAGTATCACATGTTTCCTGAAACTGGATAAAAAAATGTTATTTATGATTTTTTTTTTCTTTCATAAAAATCTGTGACAAAATCAAAGCCAGTAATGTTTAATAATTCATTGTTTTGAATTTTCTACATTACCTATTATGTAAACAAAATTCTCACCTCACAGCATGAAATTTGCATTGTTATGTGAGGATACCAATTATATATACACATTACAAAGTTTAGCAACATAAAAATTGTTAGTCCTTAGTAATTTCTGAAAGTGACAGAATTCTGCATGTATAGAATAAGAACAATCAAAATATTGTTCTAAATTATAACTCAAACCATCAAGGAAAGGAAATTTCATATTTTCTTAGACAAAGCTCCAAATGTCAACTTCCATAAATATGGTGTACTGAAGCAAAAACAATTGTGTACATATTTACTCAAATAATCATTTAAACTTGTAACAAACCATAAAAAAGATTGTATTAAAAAATTGAATTTATATTTCAATTTTTGTAAGAAAGTGAAAATGAAGTTTGGCAGATGAGGAACATGATGGTGATATGAAAATAGTTTTTAAAAATGTGGGTCCCGAGAGATCTGTTCTATCAAATAATGTTAGAACTTAATTACTTAAATTAAGTTTTAATTACTTAAAAAAGGAGGCCCAGAAATAGTGTGTGCCTCCCCAGTTGTTTTAGTCTGCACACACCTAACACAAATACTTAAATCACACAATGTGAAGTCCATGAAGTTTACAAGCTTGTCACAATTTAAAATTGACAGCGTCCAAAAAAATACTATGAGAAATGTTTTTATAAAATACATTTGAATTGTATTTTATTTTTTGTTGCATAGAAAAACAAGTGAGCTTTCACATTGAATTGGGTGTAATGTGATTTATTTATTTTTGAACTTCGGTAATTTTTATGTTCTTCCTTAATTTAGCCAATATTGTAAATTCCATTTTGGCTGCTTCATTCTAAACTAATAGTGTAGATAGTTTGTTATACCTTGAGGGAAACAGAACAGTCACCGAAATGTTGTAAACCTTCATTGAACAAAATTATGAAATAAGTTTGGATTTATTTAAATGTGCTATTTGGTGTTTATCGGCCTAATGACGTTTGTAAGTACAATGAACTCGAGAAGCCGATGCCATAAACGCACACATAATGCATTGTTTAAATGGTCGGTTGCTAAGGAGCTAAGCACGTATTACTGACGTAAATAACAAAACAATATTTTTTAACATGCCGTGCGCGAAACGCAGTTTTTCGGCCTTGTTTTCCGTTTGCGAAACATACTTTTTTCACAGTGTGCGAAACATCACGAAGCGTTTGCGAAGCACGGCGCAAGGTGAATCACCTGTTTCGCGCCTTTGTTACGTAAACTACTATATTGATATTCGCCTTTTATTATTTCAAATATTGCCGCTAGAACATAATACTGCAATTACATACCTCTGTACAGTTCTGTATACATGAAAATAATGGGGCAAAAATATGTATTTTAATTTTTTTTAAACGTGGCGCCCCAATCAGGAAAATGTGAAAACATTTTAGAAGATAG